TGCTATGTTTCTATTTGAAGAGGAGACTTTATAATGTAATCCTAAAGAAGATGAAATATATTCCTTAGTCATATGTTTTCTGATTGGACATAATAGATTTAAAATAACTACATGTTGATGTCCTGTTTAATTTCTTTTGATCAATCTAAACTAGCAAAAATCCACAATACACATTTTGCATGCTATCCTAATAGGAAAATTCTTCATAACTTGTAACAGACTCATGTTGAGTATAAAGCCACACACTTAGATATATTTTAAAGAAGGATTTGGAGCAGATATTTAAATGGATCCCATGGCATCAGATGAATGTATTAGAATCCCAAGGTCAAATTATAGGATTGTGGGGGCAGATGAGTGGCTTAATGGTTAAATCACCAATTTAGATATTGGAGGTCCTAGGTTTGATGCTCAGCTCCACTTCTGACTCCAGCTTCCTGCTAATGTACTCTCGGAGCAGTGGTGATAGACTCAAATAGTTGGGTTCTTTCCACCCATGTTGTGAGACTTGGATTAAGTTCCTAGCTCTTGGCTTTGGCTCTAGTATTTGAGGAGTGAACCAGCAGATGGGGGCTCTCTGTCTCTTTCTGCCTCTCAAATGAGAATTTTTAAAAAGTCAAGGATTGGGGCCGGTGCTGTAGTGCAGTGGGTTAACGCCCTGGCCTTTAGTATTGGCATCCCATATGGGTGCCGGTTCGAGACCCAGCTGCTCTACTTCTAATCCAGCTCTCTGCTGTAGCCTGAGAAAGCAATAGAGGATGCCCCAGGCCAAGCCCTTGGGCCCCTACACCCATGTGGGAGATCCAGAGGAGGCTCCTGGCTCCTGGTTTCAGATCAGCCCAGCTCCAGCCATGGTGGCCAATTGGGGAGTGAACCAGTGGATGGAAGATCTCTCTCTCTCTCTCTCTCTCTCTCTCTCTGCCTCTCCTCTCTCTGTGTAACTCTGAGTTTCAAATAAATAAATAAATCTTTAAAAAAAAAGTCAAGGATTGCATTAGAGGCAAAGCAGGAATTAGAGTCAGGTTACCTGTTGACAGTGAAAACACAAAGATTAGGGGAGACAGAAATTTAGGCCTCAATTTCACCTCAAAAGCAGTACAGAAGAAAAGTGTTGGTAATACAATAGCGTGGAAGAATTTAGAATTGCCATGTTATTAACTCATGGCCCACTGACATCAGTGTTCTATTGGCAAAGTGAAACTGTAACAATTAATAGTCATTACAATGAGCTAGATATTTTACATAACTATCTCATGTAATAATACAAATAAAATCATTTGTTTTCATTTATTTGAAAGGGATGAACAGTAAGGGAGGGAAGGATAAAGAGAGAGAAAGATCATCCATCCTCTGGTTCACTCCCCAAATGTCTGCAGTAGTCAGTGATTTGCCAGGCCAAAGCCAGGAATGAGTAACTCAATCTGGTTCTCTTACAAGGGCAGCAGGAACTCAAGTGCTTGAGGCATCATTTGCTGCTTCCCGGGGTGTAGATTAGCGGGAAGCTGGAATCAGAAGCCGAGCTGGGACTCAAACCTAGGCACTCGTATATGGAACGTGGGTGTACCAAGCAATCTCAACCACTGTGTCAGATATTTGGCCTTGATCTCTGGTTTACAGATGAGGAATCTGAGACTGAATCTGAGTGAGAGGTTAAGTCACTTTTCTTACATTTCACATTTTATAAGTGTCAGAGCAGGGATTCTAATCAAGATAGAACATAACAGGGTTGGCACCAACGTTGAAGATTAGGTATGTAATAGTTTTTTTTAAGTAGCAGTGATTATTCATACATTTGATCAATTCGTTTTTGAGTTAACAAATGTTAACTGTAGGATTAATGAGTTCATTACAGGTAGGTGTTGTGGTGAAGTAGGTTAAGCCACTTCCTGGAATGTGTGCCTGAGATGGAGTCTTGCCTCAGCTCCTTTTTTTTTTTTTTTTTAAGATTTATTTATTTTACTTGAAAGTCATAGTTACACAGAGAGAGAGGGAGAAGCAGAGAGAGAGAGAGAGAGAGAGAGAGAGAGAGGTCTTCCATCTGCTGGTTCACTCCCCAAATGGCCACAATGGCCCGAGCTGCGCCGATCTGGAGCCAGGAGCCAGGAGCTTCTTCCAGGTCTCCCACATGGGTGTAGGGGCCCAAGCACCTGGACCATCTTTTGCTGCTTTCCCAGGCATATTAGCAGGGAGCTGGATTGGAAGTGGAGCAGCCGGGCTTGAACTGGCACCCACATGGGATTACGGCAATGCAGGTGGTGGCTTTATCTGCTATGCCACAGCACTGGCCCTTTCCTATTTTTGACCGTTTAGTAGAACCCACAACACAAGACCCACTGATACAGAGAGCTGACTGTAATAATAATATTTAAATAGGGCTTACTATTTGCCAATAACTGTTTTAATTGCTTTATATATGTTGTCACTCAATATAACAATCCTGCAAAATATGTACTTTTGTTCTTTCATTTTATAGATGAGGGAAAATAGTATATTCTTCACATAAGATTGTTGTGAGAATAAATAACATCATATATGCTGAGCACAATACCTGGCATTCATTCACTTCTCAGTAAGTAGTGCCAGGAACCATTTTCCATGCAAGTAATACTATAGTATTTGATGGAATAAAGACATAAGCCTCAGCCATTCTCCCCTATTGCCCAAAAGATAGATAAACATTGGAATTTATTCCTTGCCCTTGAATCTCAACTGAGTCTCACACCCTATTGCCTTTATTACACCCCCACCCCTCGCATTCTTTCACAGGTTCCCAAGGACCCCCCAGGACACCTGAAAGACCAGTTCCAGGACCCTCCCAGAAACTCCATCTTGGTCTCCCACATGGGTGGCAGGGGCCCAAGTCCTTGGGCCATCTTCTGCTGCTTCCTCAGGTGCATTAGCAGGGAGCTGGATGGGAAGTGGAGCAGCTGGGACTATGAAAGGAGTGCTCTGATATGGGACGCTGGTGTCAGAAGCTGCTCTGCCACAATGCTGGCCCTTACACCATTTTATATTTTGGTATCCAGAGCAGAGTCTGGAATCAATGCTTCATCGATCTAGAGGGATGATCATTTTAAGCATTATTGTTATTTTCCAGTGTTACCTATGAAGACACTGAAATATAAAGGCTTTAAGTCATTTTTTTCGAGTATTACAGAGTTAATTAAAAGGTTGGGACAAATTTCTAAACTTTATACTTTCTCTTCTAAATCTTTTACCTCTGTTTGGCCTTGGTGTTCTTGTCGAAGAGCTCTCCAAAATCTTATTTTGCCTGATTTTCAGGTATACCTACTTTATTTTTATGCTTGTCATTTTTTTTGTTTTACTAAGACTGACTTTAAAATATTTAAAAGATTAGTTCCTTCTTAAATTTGATTGTACATGGCCATTTTACTTTACAGATCCTATGATCCTCAGGTTATATTTTTTGTGGAGTCCAATACATTGATTTGAATGACTGCAAAGTTCTTAATGACTGTTTATTAAAATATTTCCTTTTGTAATCTTTTCTCTAATTTGGTTTCCTTCTTCACCTCTCTTAATTCTGGAAATTCTCTAATACTTGCTTTGTTTTGAGTTATAAGGAATATGCAATATAAGGTATAACATTAATTTATAATTTCTTTTCAGTCGCTAATTCACTGTGTAGTGTCTGATTCTCAGTTCTTTTTCTCTTATGTGTCATACATATGGTGAGTGTAATTTCTCACAACATAATCATTTAACTTAACTGATAATTCTTTCTGTATTTGTTTACAAAGTAGAGCCCACAGCAGCCGTCGCTGTGGCATAGTGGGTAAAGCTGCTGCCTGCAGTGCTGGCATCCCATATATGAGCCTGTTCCAGTCCTGGCTGCTCCACTTCTGAACCAGCTCCCTGCTATGGCCTCAGAAAGCAGTGGAAGATGTCCCAGGTGCTTGGGGCCCCTGCATCTGCATGGGAGACCCAGAAGTTGCTGGCTCCTGGCTTCAGATTGGCTCAGCTACTGCCGTTGCTGCCATTTGGGGAGTGAACCAGTAGATGGAAGACCTCTCTCTCTTGCCTCTGCCTCTCTGTAACTCTGTCTTTCAAATAAATAAATAAATAAATATTAAAAAAAAGTATAGCCCAGGGTAAAATAAACGTTTGTGAAGTGGAGATTTGTAACAAAATGAAAAGTGTTGACCTACTGGTAAATTGAAGTAGATGTGACAGAGATGTATACAATCTTTAGATTAATGAGAACTGAGTATGCCAAGCATTTATATAGTTTTCTTCAGTGACTTTAATGAATGCTAGTGAAAAGATTTGAGTGATTGGAAGTGGAGAGGGTGGGGAGAAGAGGAGTGGCAGCTGCCTAAGTGGTTTGGTGAACACGTAAATAGGTAGTTTGGAGTCAGAACTTGGAGGCCTGGAATGCCTGAAGGAGTCTGCACTTTCTTCTCTTGATCTTCTATGTTAAAAAATTTTCAAGTTCTAAAAATGAACTCCTAACAGTCCACGATTGATTGGCTTCATATACCCAATGTTAAATATTTAGGATTCCATTTAACTCCGAAGTTGTATTTCAAAAATAACCTTTAAGGTTATTTGATGATCAAAGCATTTTTCACCAGCCGATATTGACATGATAAGAAACTAGGGATATTTCAGAGATCTTGGCACAACTTCAAAGAGTGGTAGAACAGAATGTGGAGAACTCTTCCAAGTTTTGGAAGGCAGCATTTGGGCTGAGACCCACACACTGAGATGAGAGGCTTCCCTGAAAATAGAAAGTCTTTCCTACTTTGGAGTTCTAAAGGATGGCAGAATTCATATCTGCCTAAGACTCAATCCTGCGTTCATTTTCCTCCCTCACTCAGTGCCTCCTCGGGACAGCGTTAACACTGCTAAATGATTCCTGAGGTATTTCCAGTAAGCCTCCCAGAAAGCTGCCTCATTGTCCTTCTAAATGGTGTTTCTATGCATTCGGAAAGGAATCCTCCTCATGCCTATCTCATATACTTGTTTTTGTTTTGCAGAACGAAAAAGCTGCTGCAACTTGGAGATTTGGACACCCATCGCCCAAACGACTGGTGTCGCTTTGCAAGATTTGGTACCCAAAGCCGTGGAACCAGGATTTAGCATCCTTCCTCTGATGGCACGTTTATTTAAGCAAGCGTACTATACTTTCGAACATCATCTCCTCTCTATTCCACACCTCCTCCCAGCCCGCCCCCTGGTTCCTTCCAACCCTCTATCTCGCCCCCCCCACCCCCTCCGCCTGATCCTGCGCATGCGTTCTAAGAACCCCCTACACTCACGACACTGGCTGAGTATTGTCGGGGGCTATTCTCTCTCCCAGGAACATGGCGGCGAGTCAGGGAGGTGGTGGTAACAGCGGGGGCGGTGGTTGTGGTGGAGGTGGAAGTAGCGGCGGCTGTGTCGCGGCCGGAGGCGGCGGCGGCGGGGCCGGAGGGGGAGGTGGCGGCGGCGGCGGCGGCGGCGGCGGCAGTGGCGGGACCGTGGTAGTGCCTATCCCGGTACCGACTCTTTTCGGTCAGCCGTTCCCCAACGGGCCGCAGTGGAACCCAGGGAGCCTGCAGCCTCAACACACCGTGAGGAGCCTGGACCGGGCCCTGGAGGAGGCGGGCAACTCTGGCATCCTGAGCCTCAGTGGTAGGAAACTCCGAGACTTCCCCGGTAGCGGCTACGACCTGACGGACACCACCCAAGCAGGTGACAGGACGGGGCGGGGGGCTTGGGGGGGGGCTGGATTGCGAAGGAGGAGGTGGGGGAGTGGGTGGCTGCGTGGCCGCGTTGTTGGGCTAGGCTGGTCTGGGCGGGTGCGCGGGGGCGGCGGGACTGACAGAGTCCCAGCAGCTCATTCTCCTGAACCCGAGAGGAGTGAGGAGGGGCTAGTGGAGGGGGAGCCAAGGATGTATGGATACAGGAGAGCAGTGTCGGGGTGAAAGGGCATTATTGTGATGGCGACTTTTCTTAGAAAGGGTGGGAGGGAGGTATTGACACCCTTATTAGTGCGCTTCTTTCAACTCTCCTGGATGTTCCCGGAACAACAACACCCCCCTCCCCCCCAGCAGACGGTCCGTAAAATTCTGTCTCCACAGGCTCCTTAAAGACATCCATGCCCGCTAGAGCAGCAGAGCCCCTTTCCCCAAGTACGGCGGCAGGGTCGCCGTGGTCTGCGTTCTTATTTTGTTTACGGTTTAATCATCCTAAGACTCTCTTCGCTTCTTTCTTGTCACGTATGCCTTTAAAGATAGAGATTTTTCATTTTCTCGGTGTTGAAGAAGGTAGTGGTGGTTAAATTAGTATTTGCTGCGGTGGTAAATTAAATCATCAATCACTTACGTGTCTGGTTCCTGGGGGAAAGATAATCCTTGCTTTAAGTGATGTTAGTCTTCATTTTTATAGCAGAAAGAGCCAAAAATTTTAAGGGATTTTTCTTTGAGAAAAAAATTGGAGTTGTGGATTAATGGGTTCACATTTTGGGTGAGAAATTGGCTATTGTAGTGTTGTGCGTACTGTGTCTGGTAGTCTTTGTTGTGGCTGGCATTTTTTTTTAAATCTACACACTCTTCCCCACTCTGCTGATTATTTTACGTGTGTTTTGGTTTGATGAAAGGATTTTTGCTTTTCATAATCTTTAAATGCGTTATTTATCTGTCTCTTTTCATCTGCTTTGTTGAAATAAATAATGGGCAAAATTATTTTCACAGATGTGGTGAATTCTGAAACAATATAGTAAGTAAATTCACTCATAATGAGAAGTAGTAGGAGACATTAAGAACAAGGTAATTTCAGAATATTTAGTGTCTATATATTAAATCAAGGTATGTGGGTTGGAAGAGGAAGAAAACCTAAAATTGAAGCTTTCCATCCATTGATTGATTCTCTTAGGAATTACCCTGGGAACGATGAATGTGTAATTGGTCCCTAATTCTGTATTTTGGAAAGCACATTTGAGTATTTACTGCTTCACTCTCAACAGATTTCTTAAACAATACATTCACATGTTCATCACTGTTTTGGCAGGATATTATACTACTTTGGTATGTTCTTCAAAGGCTTCAAGAAAAATGGTTTCAGGCTGCATTATTATAGAGTATCTTTCTTTGCTTATTGTTCTTTGTAATCTATAAAGGATCATTTTATCTGCAGGAGAAAGTTTAAGCATCTTAGCTTAGCATTCAGGGCTTTCACTGTCTGGCTCCAATTTATTGTTGAAACCTTATCTCTGAAACCCTCCTGCATAGAACCCTCTCTTCCAACTTGATCTCCCTCCCTTCAGTGTATTTTGTGCATTTCTGTCTCATCTTTGTATAAGGTCATCAGCATGTTGGAGATTTCCCCCTCTTCTCCACCTATTTAATTGTGTTCAAACCTCAGCTTTTCCAAGAAGCTGTCTCCAACTCCCTTAGCCCACAGCAGTCTCCTGTGTCTTTGAATTCCCATGGTACTTATTGTCTTTACCACTTACTTGGCAGTGCTAGCTTTCTTTCTTTTTTTCATTTGTGTCTTGCTGTCCCTAAGAAGATGGGAGAGTCCCTTAAAAGGCAGGAATTAAGCCATATACTTGTTCAGTTTTCTCATTATATATTCCTTTTATTGGTTTTGATATTTCTCATAAATAATTAATATTATCTTCTCAGTTACAACCTTTGGCTTTTAAGTCCTCATTCAGTTGGTTTTCTGAGGTAAGCTTCAGTACAAACCAGAAGTATAAACTTTATTAGTGTTTATAGTAACATGGGACTTCTTGAAATAATTCCCCTTCATTGTACTTTTATTTTTTCATTTAAATATATGTCTCTTGATCCCAGAATCAGACTAAAAAAACTTGTGGTGCTTATTTTTCCATTTAAATGAGATATCTGCCAGGGACTTGTTTGCTATTTTTTAAAAGATTTACTTATTTTAAAAAGATTTATTTACTTACTTGGAAGGTAGATAAAAAGAGGAAGAAACAGAGAAAGAGAGAGACCTTCTGCCTGCTGGTTCACTCCCCCAAATGGCCACAATATTCAGGGCTGAGCCGGGCTGTGTACAGGAGCCTGGAATTCCATCTGGATCTCCTGTGTGGATGGCAGGGGCGCCCAAGCACTTGGGCCATAATCTGCTGCCTCCCCAGGCACATTAGAAGGGAGCTGGTTTGGAAACACAGCAGCCAGGATTCCAACTGGCACTATGATAGGGGATGCTGGTGTTGTAAGTAGAGACTTAACTTGACATTTACTTTTGACAAAATTCAGCCATTAAATATTTAGGGGCAATAGTTTTGAATGTAGAGACCAGTATCCATTCTGTGTAAATGAAGATAGATACACCGAAACTGAAGAAACAGCATGCTTGAGGTTATGCATTCATACATGCTTTCATACATACACATACACATAAATACACACATACATATATACACAGTAGGTCTTTGCTTTGATCAAGAAAGTTCTGTATGATAATCTTATACTGCTCTTAAAGTGACTTTCCATGGAATAATATTTTAGAAGCAAACTTACTAGTTGAACAAACAATTATTTATTAGGTTGAGAAGAGACTGGGAAGAAGGGAAAATAATTAAGAAGCTATTCTGTTTGTGAAGGGTGATAAGGATCTTGGCTGAAACAAGGGGAAATTGATAAATTTCAAAAGCAGGGGAGAGGGCTTTTTATGATATATTGCCATTCCTCACATACACATAAGATGAAATAGACCAGTGTTTCCATACTCTCTGACTGCACTTTAAAATCGTACTGGAGGGTTTGTTTGTTTGTTTTGTTTTGATTTTTAAACCTATACCTAGACCCCACTCCAGACCAATTAATTCAGAATCTCAGTAGCTAAGGGACTTAAAAAAAAAAAAAAGCTTCCCACATGAGTCTAATGTGTAGTCAGGGTTGAAAAACCATAAAATAGCTAACTTTTTTAGACACTCAAGAAATATTTGTAGTTTGAATGAGAACATTGATAAAAATTTAGTGATTAAACCCAATGCCACTTGTCAAGAGAGTGAAAATCAAAACTAGGAACTTAGTGTTCAAATTGTAGCCCAGTGTTCTTTTCATCAAACTGTGAAGCAGATACTCATTTTTTCCCATTGTATTGTGTCTGCTCATGATATCAGGAGTAGAAATTCACTAGGAACCTGTCTTTTCCATGCATAACTCTGGCTTACATTTGGCACTGTTCAATACATTTGCAGTAAGAAAATATTTCCTTCAAAACATGTAGACATGAAGTCTTATTTTCTCTAAGTTTTGCTTTGAGGAAAATGGATAGTAGGCAGCTGTTGGTAAAGTTTCTTTGGTGTTTTTACTTCTCTATTTGCATTTCCGGTGTCGTCTTCTCCTGCCTGTCCCTATCATGCTACCCTCCTTGTTTCTCTTTCCTTCTTCAGCCTTACTTCCCCTTACTGGGATGAAGCTCAAAACTAAATGATGATGGCAGCCTCTTGAGGAGATTAACATTTACAAGGAGGGGAGGGTTGCCAGTGTATTTGAAACCAAATGGTGCATTATGCTCCTGACTTTTTTTTGAGTAGAACTGCCTTCCAGATACTCCTTGGTTAAAATCCTCACTCACCTAAGGACATTCAACCTGGGATCAGAGAGTTGATAATCTGTTTCAGGAAAGTAGCTGACTCTGGCTTTAATCTCTTCTCTGAGAAGGTCTGTGGGTAGATTTGGCAAGATGAAGGCATAATTACCTTAGAACTTTTTGGTACATCTGGATAGTTAGTATAATTTGTTGACTTGAAAATGAATTTAAATTGTTACCCAAAAAAATCTTGAAATTTTTCATAGTTGACTTTGTCACCAGTTCTACAAATAAGTGGATGTGCTTCAGCCTACTTGCAGCTGCTCCCTCTACTTCTTTATACAGCATCACCTCTTTATGTCCATGCGCAGTAGGTCTGTGAAACAAATTTAGGAATTCTAATATACGTCAGATAGTGCTGTGTTCTGGATAATCACGTGTTTTCCTGAAAACCAGGAGTCAACTCAAGCATGTCCTACGTGTATTGGTTCACCTTTTCAACTGTGGGGCATGGTGCATTGGATCAGGTTTAAAACTGAGCCAGATAAATGTGGTGTCTATTTTGCTACTTAGGTGAAGGTCCTTGCTTTTTTTAATGAATTTAGTGGAATGAACTTGTGATTGTTATTTTGTCGCCTGATTCAAATATCTGCCTTACTTTGTGTAGTAAATGTCTTCTTGAAAATTTGAATGTGAAGTGCATTTTTGACATTTCACTCATTTTAATTGCTATAGTGAATTTGAGTTGTTGAAACCTAGTGGTAATTCATTTTATTCAATGATGGCTTCTATAACATGAGGAGTTGGCCCTTAATTTCCTTCTTTTGCAAGTTCATATTTTAAAATAAAACATTAGATGTTTTAAAATTGTTATTTTTAAACAATTAGAGGGTATGTTCACCATTAAAATATCATTTATGCAGTTCTTTATAAATTTACAAGCACTTTCATATATATTATCCTATTACATCCTAGTGATAACCCTGTGAGCTTGGCACAGTACATAGTAATTACTCCATGTGGTTGAGACAGGTTAAATGATTTACCGAAAGTTAAACTGTATGGCAGAGTGTGGGTTTTTCACTAGCACTATCCTAGTGTTGTTTCTACTATATCACATTCTGCCTTTATAATGATTATTAAGCACTAGAGCAATAAATGGTTTATTTATTATGAAAAATGCT